TTTTTTTTTTTTTTTTTTGTAATTTGTGTGTAACTTGTGATTTTGTGGCAGGATGCTAATAAGCGTTATTAATATGACGGAGATATTAGTTGAAGTTTTATGCTTATTAAAAGTCAGAGGTTTCATACATTTAGCATTGTTGATGGTTGTGAAAGTGTTAAAAGTAAACGTTAATTCGATTAACATCATATGCTATAAAAGTTGACAATAACTGACTTTTAAAAATCTAATGAGAGATTGATTTTCAAATATACAACTGAAGATGTAGTGGTGGAAATTTGTCTTCTTGAGTTAACTATACCAGCTGGTTTTGTAGATGAAGGTTTTTGGAATTTTAAGGGGTTGATGAAACTTCTGAATGCATGATAACGGAAGAAAGGGTCATGTTATAATTAGTGGAGTCACACCTGAAGGTTGTTATACCAGCGCTGATGACGTCACCAATGTGATGCAGTTTACCGTTGATGTTGCAAGCATCTTCTGAAATAATACTGTTATTTTTGCAGTAAAGTGAAATGTGAGAACAAGGTTGAAAGCATGAGACAAGAATGATAGACTGATCTGGCCCTTGATTGTGCAATGGTGGCAGCTTTGTTGTTTTAGCTAATTCGTTAGAAATGTTTCAGTGCATTACCTTCAGTATAAACGGCTTTGCCGTCCTTGCCTTGCGAGGTGCAGTTGTACCAGAAGCCTTCTACTGTCAAGATTTCGTTAACTGGTATAATGGTGCCGTTGATTCGAGGACTGCCAACGCACGCTGCATAATTATAACAGGAATTAGTTTAGTTAAGGGAGGTTTGTTGATGTTGTGAACTAGGTTACAGGCGAATAATGTATTGCTGGTTGGTTTCAGAAAGCAAATTCATTGGATAGGCTTTAAACTGTAGTACTGTAGTAATATCCGTCTTATTGTCAGTGAGAGACAAACAGAAAAGAAACTAGTCATCGCTAACAAAATTTTTTTCTTCTGCTATCAGCGTAGCACAACAAGTTTTTAAAACAGAAGTTGACAACCCTATAAAATGTGACCTCCAAAGTTACCAGAAGGTTAACTAAATTACACATGCATTAAACATTACAAGTAACTACAAT